CCGCAGGGGCCTCGAGATCCAGGGAGCCCACGCAGCCCTCTGACTGCGCGGTGCCCTTTTCTGACTTGCACCATTATTCACACGGTCCCAGTTGCAGTGTGCCGAGATTTGCCCCCAAGGACAAAAATGTGAATAAAGCAATATTTTAGTCAAACATTTCTGTGTTAATTAAGAAGATGGCAATTCGTTCCAGACTATAAATTCTCTTTAACAACTCTCCAAGGTATTCTTTAAAATTGTTTTTTCAGCATTGCTGAACGTGCATCATAATGTGTGGGAGACTTGTGTAAAGTGAATCAATTTATAGTCGGCTGAACAATCAATCCAATGTTACACCTTCAAGGAGGCACCTTTCCATTGTTTTCTCATTTTCTCCCCAACACCTGTTACTTGTTAGTGAGGAAGCTGCATGCACACGGCATTGTATTAAGTTTATTCGGCAGACGTGGCTCTTAAACTAGGACAAGCTTAGCCTAGCTCTGAATTTAAAATGTGACATTTCTTTAAGTTGTGGGATAAGACATACAGGTAGCTTTTAGAATCCAGAGCTGAACATAATTAAAAAAAAATTTTTTTTAATCACAGGAATATTTTTTTGAAGGCATCCAGCATCTCCCCCCTCCCCCCCCCCAACAAAGGCATACTACATCAACACTCTCGCCCGGATGTGGACACAGAAGACTCCTGTTTCAAGAAAATACATCATCTCTCAAAGTCTGTAATTTATATGCATTTTTAACTCACTAGGTATGGAAAACCACCCAAGTGTCCCACAACATGGGGTAAAATATAATCAATCACTGAGTGTAATATTATACATCCTTTAAAAATGTTATTGGAAAATGCTTTATGATCTGTAAGGCGAAATACCCTCTCCCACCATTTCTTTCTCCCTGCCACTCCCCCAGACCCGTGCATCTTTGTTCCAACTGGCACGTTGAACTTGCTTTTCCCGCCAAATGAGTCAGTTACGATGGGAACGTCAACTGATTTGAACAGATGTGTGTCAGTGTTACTTGGGAAACTAGATGCCAATAACCAAGGCCACAAAAAAAGGCAGTGGTTGCAAGTCCGTAAAAATTTATGCGGGCATGCAGACAAGGACTAAAGTGGAACCCCAAACAGGAAAACAGTTGGATATACTCCAGTGCTGAGAGATTGAATGATTGTATGCTGCTTTTGATTTCCATTAATACAGGCAACTGTCCGATTAAAAAGACCCAAGAAGGACTCTGCAGTGCAAATTATTTTGCTGTTTTCAAACACCATACCTATCAGATCCTCAAGGCAGATGGAGCGGCCAGATTTGGTCCCCCCAGCCCTGGGCCATAGAGCTCAGGGCAACACTTGGAGCAAAAGTGCCCCCACACAGGTGGGAGTTCACTTCTAGGCAGCTTTGCCGAGAGACTGCGCAAGATGGAAGTAAAAATAGGTTCAGAAAGCATTTTTTGGAAGATCAAGGAGCTTATTGATAGGACTGAAGGACTTGAATCGAGGGCTGTATATCCCAGTCAGCATAACTTTTTAGAGATCTATTTTCCCATGGGCCGGCAGCATAACTTATCCTCATAACCCTAGAACTTTATATATGCATTTGTATTTCAAATAATTACATTGCTCTTAAACTATATATATAATATATGTATACCAATTACAGCAAATGTGTATCTCCCTGACCCTGTCCACCCCACTCACCCCGCCCAGTAGTTACTGCTCAAAGAACAAAGATCTGCTAGCTCTTCCATCCTATTTCACCTATCCACCACCTTTGCTTCAGTCTCCTCCTCCACAGTTGATCTCTTTGGCAAGTTCAAAAAGGTTTAGACCCCTGTGGAGGGGGGGGATAGTAAATTGAGCCCTTAGGGAGGAGCCCTGAAAAGATCTCCATTTCCCTGGTGGCTCAGGCTTGGGAGCACTCCCCTGGCCCTGGTGAGCTCTATAATCTGAGCATTGGGGGGGGGGGGGTTGGGAGTTGGGAGGTGGCCCTGGCTCGACTGCCGACTGTGGACTGCCTCCAGTGCAGTTAATCTGGGAGCTGAGAGAGAGGACAGTGGGGGGGGGTGGGGTGGAGAGGAGGGGACTGGCGGGCACTGGGAGTCCTGATTGCTTTGAAGTGTGATTCTCTCCCGAAGCAGCTCCCTCACCTGTCCCCCTTTCCTCACCCCCACCCAATCTCCAGACCAGGCTGTTCTTGCAAGACCAGATCTTTTAAAGGCCTGGCCACAGACACCGCAACGATGAGAATCCCAATAATCCCAGCATCTTGCTGTTGCAGCATGTTTTTCCTGCCTTTCCAAATGTTTTCATATTTTCATGTTTTCTACTTGCAACAAGAGATAAACAGGATAAGGCAGTCAACAAAAAACAATTGCAAACAAGAAAACGGGCTTCTGGAGGTTAAGGATTTGTCTCAGGCTGGGCTGGGACCTCTCCCTGCGGACCTCTGCTGCGCTTCTTACACCACTACCTATT